CAAAAATAAGTAGACTAGTAATAAAAAACAACATTCGTTGAGGGCCTCAACTCAAGGCCCCTCTAGTCTGCCCTATAATCCCGCCAACCTTCATTTCCGAGGCTTATACAAGATGTATATTTCGGTCCCTATAGGAGCAAATAAGCATTCACAGGATTCTCAGGTATATACGATGTTACCAACCATCTCGAGTGGCATCCATCACTCCTCATTGGGCTTATATTGGCCGCCATTTATTATCAGTACCTCTTAACTCTAGGCCCCCCTCACCCTACATGGCAAAGGTGCTGCTCATTCGACTGTGACCTCAGTGAGAGCAACCTATTACGGTGATGCTACTACGGTAATCCTGGTGATGACCCGACTGTCGGAAAGAGGAGCTCATCAATGGTCCAGCAGGTGTATGAGGTCGTCATGGTATGGCATTAACAGCATGTTGGGGTTGATGAAGGCTGTGAACACATGGCGGAGGGGCTGCTGGGTGAACCAATGATTTCAATTATTTGCATACGACTAAAGACTAGCACTCCTGCACAATTGAAAATGATGTTATCACGAGAGCGAATCATGCAGGAGCAGTAGTTTGCATGAGAGCTCGGTTATACAGAGCCTCTCTCGACAGGAGCTCACCGAGGAGTGGTATCAGGGATAGTCATCACCAAGGTGTGAGCTGGTGAATGGACCCCCTTCGCCCTGCGTCCTCAGTGGTGCCTGTATAGGGTGTTCCCTATGACACCGAGAAAGGATAGTCAAAAGCTTAAAGTCATTAACCAGGACGGTGCTAGAACATTATCATTGTTATGATGCATATTTGATATATTGCCTTCCCTAAATGGATGCCTTTTCCACGCTGTGGTATAACGTGGATGCGCTGAGCTGCTGAGGTCCTCAGTCGTGTTGTCCTCGCCATTTCTCACTGTAAAGATCCGTATATATACTCGCTCGCCAAGAGTGAAACCGTTGCAGTGTAGAACATGGCATGTAATAAAACTAAGATTATACTTTGCATCCACACTCTTGTGGAATTGTGTTCTCATTCATCATGGCCGATGATCAGCACAGTGTGCCTTCCGAGTTAACAATCCTCCCCTGGTAAGAGGGTATCAATGGCTATGTAAGAAGATACCAAGGAGGAAGCGAAATGATCTAGTAGGATGACGAAAGTAAGGAGAGGTGAGTCGTAGGAAGTGATAGTCTTATTTCAACTGAGGAGCCGCTGCCTTGAGTCTAGTGGGGAACGACAACTCGACTATATTGTTACTACTACGACGATCTGGGTGGCAGTAGCCTACCACGGTGATCCTATCTGTCTTCACTGGTCTATAACTCATCATGGTAGGCCGAATGTATAGATGGGTAGAATTAGGTTACGGACCGTTACGGCTGCTCACTTTTACGGTTACGCTTCAAGTCCCGTACCATAAAATTACGGCGCCGTAACGGGTCTTACGGAGATGCAGAGGACAAATTAAGGATTGTTGATTCAAGTCGCCTAAATCTATTTCATGCGCAGCGGTAGACCGGCTTGGCAGTCCCGGGCCAGCCTGGGAGTAAGACGGACGGAATTTGCAAAGGAGACGAGTGGTAAATGCGAAACCCAATGTTACTTTCTCAGCGGTTCGGTTGAATCCGAGCCACAAGAAATTAGTTTAACAACTATTTGAGCTATCGTGGGGTGCATTACAGCGAATGTTTCCGCCACAATTCTAAAAAAGCAGCTCAGCACCAACCGTAAAGCCGTAAGGCCTTTCCGTAACCCGTAAACTGCTTACGTTACGCACGCCGTACCCTAAACCGTAAAAAAGTTACGCTGCCCATCTATAGCCGAATGAGGTGGTATATAGAAGTTTTGTCATGTGTAGTATGCCGCGAGAGGGGTTGATGGTGGTAGGCCTACGACGTTGAGGGGCGTTTCAACTTCGGTAGCAACAGGATGTTCATGCTCACATTGCCAATTGTCTGCTATGTTTTGAAAATGGTATTCGCGACACATTTCGCTCCGCTGAAAATCGCGTGCGCTATGGGATACAACTCAGTCTCGTTGTCGGACTTGTTGTGAAGTCTTTGAATATGTTGTCTCAAAAGGCCACCCTGAAGGATCTGCCCGAGAGCCAGATCAAGGGCAAGAGAGTCCTCATGCGTGTGGACTTCAATGTCCCTGTTAAGGATGGTAAGGTCGCCGATAAGACCCGTATTGTTGCTACCATACCTACCATTAAGAAGGTCTTCGAGATGGGTGCCAATAGCATCGTTCTTATGAGCCATTTAGGCAGGCCTGAGGGCAACAAGGTTGAGAAGGTAGTACAACAAAGAAGCCCCTCGGTATTAAGTCATTGTAATTCAGTTCTCCTTGAAGCCTGTCGTGCCCGTCCTTACCGAGCTTGTTGGCCATGAGGTTACCTTTGTCGAGGACTGCGTTGGTGATGTCGCCATTAAGGCTTGTGCCTCTCCTGCCCCCGGCAGCATCATCCTCCTCGAGAACCTCCGCTTCCATGTTGAGGAGGAGGGCAAGGGTGTGGTCGATGGTCAGAAGGTGAAGGCTTCCCCCGAGGCTGTTGCTGCCTTCAGAGCCGACCTCACCAAGCTTGGTGATATCTTCATCAACGATGCCTTTGGTACCGCCCATCGTGCCCATTCCTCTATGGTCGGCGTCGAGCTCCCTATCCGTGCTGCTGGCCTCTTGTTAGCCAAGGAACTTCAGTACTTTGGCAAGGCCCTTGAGAACCCTGAGCGCCCCGTGTTGAGTGTATTAGGTGGCGCTAAGGTTAAGGATAAGATTCAGCTCATCAACAACATGCTCGACAAGGTCGATATGATGATCATCGGTGGTGGTATGGCTTATACCTTCATCAAGACCCTCTACAATACCCCTATTGGCAACTCCCTCTTCGATGAGGAAGGCAGCAAGATCGTACCTGACCTTATGAAGAAGGCTAAGGATAAGGGTGTTGAGATCCTCCTACCCACTGACTGGGTTTGCGCTGATGACTTTGACAACAACGCTAACACCAAGATCTGCACTATGGAGGCTGGTATCCCTGATGGCTGGGAGGGCCTTGATGTTGGTCCGGAGTCGACTAAGCGTAACCTTGAGTTGTTGAGCAAGGCCAAGACCATCATCTGGAACGGTCCTCAGGGTGTATTCGAGTTCCCTAACTTTGCCAAGGGATCCTTCGCTCTCCTTGATGGTGTTGTTGCCGCTACTAAGGCTGGTGCTACCTCCATCATTGGTGGTGGTGATACTGCTGCTATGGTTGAGCAACAGGGCAAGGCTGGTGATATCTCACATGTCAGTACTGGTGGTGGAGCCTCCTTGGAGCTCCTCGAGGGCAAGCAGCTCCCTGGTGTTGTCGCCCTTACTGATAAGAATCAGCTCTAAGTGGGAGTCTTAATGTAGTAGTTGCTGTTACTCAGCTTACTATTGTTTTCACGATTACCAAGTGACGATTCTACTGTCAAGTGTCGGGTTAAGCCAGTTGGGAGGGTACACGGAGCAGGGACGGCCTCGAATATCATTACTGACTATTACATTTGTATACATCGCGATGATCCTGCCCGATAGTTCGTGGGAGCTAGGATGAATCGAAATAGCGCCAATGTTGGGTATCGGTCTCAGCCGTCATAAAGTCTTACGAGGTTCCCTCAGTCAACAGGCTAGTGTGGGTCTCCCTCTTTTATACGAGCATATTACTCAAAGAAACGAGCGTCACTTTTCATATTGCTTCAAAGCGGGAGTCGAAGAATATCCTATCGAGGATAAACAACGGAATCGTGAGTGTACTCTTATCTCCATCGTGAATCTAAACTCGTAGACTGGGGTGGCCGTGGCAAGTTGCCACTGGCAACCGACAAGCGGAGTCGTGGTGAGCGTCTACGCCAATGCGCAGAGGATTAGCCGGGAGTGTGTTGGAATATGTCTTGTCTTAACCTCAGCTCGGGAGTTTCCAAATTATGAAGATTTACACACGGAGGATTTACTTCTTTCCGAGTCGTCTTGGATCCCGAGGGTGTTCAACTGGCTTAACTCCAACCCAGAGCTATACCATTCCTCGGTGAAATAAAAACAGTCCCTAATCAGGTTAAACGAATATCACAGCAAGTTGAGAAGGGTTGCCGATCTTGAATAGTTATCAAAGTGAATACATTAAAATGAAGGAAAATGGACATTGAGTTGAATTGAAACGTGAAATTATCCCCCCAGGATCGTGATTACAACGGGGCACAACATGCTCACAATTAGCTGAAGGTATCGCTATAATCTTTAAGGAATCTTCCTTGATGATATATTTCATAATCCCACCAAATTTCTCAGTATGAAGATTCTTCCTTGAACAACTGCAAGGTTAATCACGAAGTTTTGGAGGTCCCTTCACTAACGCCACTCATGCTGCCCGAGCTGACCAAACTGACCGCCTCTACTCTGACTGTGATGTACTATTATAACACTTGTCGTAAGTCTTCTTATTGGAACCTAATACGCTATGCTCCTGAATCCCCGCTGCGTTGGCCGATCGTAACGCTAGGATTGGATCCATAAATGATGACTGGAGTTGGCGCGTCCCCTCGTCTACCAGTACAGCTTTTTTTCTTACTCAATGTAGACATAGCTCAAGATCGTGGAGATCTGCTAGGTAGCTACCCCAGGGTCACTCTCAAGACACTACAATAACCAAACACTCCTTCTGCACAGGCAATTCGATGGCGGAAAACCGAAAAATGTTCTCTAGCCAAGAGAACGTATAGTCATCATCTGAAGCGTAAGCCACCACGCGATTGAAATCATGAACAATCGCCATCATGCAGAACAAAGTCTGCCAAGAGAAAAATGTAATTTTACTCATAGTCATGAACTGAACTATTGTGCCATGTTAGGAGACCTGAGAACAACCACTAAGTAGTAACCTTCCTCAATAGTTGCCACTAACCTATACAGCAAAGTGGGGTTCGGCAAGGAACCCCTTCTGGAAGACTTGCCGTAGACCTGTGAGGCGAGCTCTCGTGGAGTAGTCAACTCGTTTGAAAGTATCCTTCCGATCTCAAGGTCGCCAAGGTCGACACTCCTACGTCGAGGAGGAGGAGGATGATGAGAAGTCGGCTTCGTAGGTGCCGTTTCATCAGATTCCTAAAGTGACTACAGTCAGAGAAGGAAGGTGACTGCAGGGGACTGGCACCTCAATACGGCTACTGCCCGATCGAGAGTAGGGGATAATGCTGGCCCAACCGTTACGCCACCCGTCACTACGGGATAACAACAACGTTAGCAGGGCGATAGCAATGGTCAGGCCGAAGACCGACGACAATACTACTACGAACACCGAGGAAGCGCTCATACGGGAATCAAACTGTTGATGAGTGCCAGCTCTGATGGATTCAATCTCACACCATCGACTATACACCACAAGAGGTAGGATGAATTCTAACGACGACATCACATCGTGGCATGCACTATACTGACAATTTCATCTTACTCAGCTCTGACCAATACCTGACCATATGATACCACTACATATGTCTTACCACTAGCATTCTTGGTGAAAAATAACAAAAGAGAGTATCGAACCACCGACCTTCGGCATAATAAACCAACACCTTCCCCAATTCAACTACTTTTCAGGCACTCCAGCAGCCTTCAGCTTTTCGATCTTCTTCTGTTTAATTGTCACCAACTTTTTCCTCTCCGCTGCGATCTGCGCTCTTACGACATTCCCTTCCTCCAAGAAATCACGACGGGCTTGCATACTGGCTTCCTCCCGAGCCTGAAAAAACAACAATAGACTTCAACTGCCTACTGCTGCTCATTAAGAACTGGGCAGTGAGAATAACCTGTATTTGTTTCTTCAACTCCTCGCAATGGTTATGCCTTTGTTGCCTCTCTTCTTCGGCCCTCACCCTCTCAGCCTCTTCCTGTTGCATTTGTATCAGTACTATCCTCTCAAACTCCTCC